TTGGAAGCTCCACACCCCGGCTGTGCGCGCTTCAGGTTTAGCATGGTAAAGGATCCCGCGCAGAGTTCACAGTGATCGGTGAGTGGGCCCGCACCCCGCAACCCCTCGGCAGGCCGAGGGCCAATGATATTTCCTCCGATCCGGCCACAACTTGATGCACACATTATGATATGTCGTGCTATACTTGTTCTTATATGTTATATAATATAATAACAACTAGTTTGCAGATCAGGCACCACGGAAAACATCAGCTAGGTTTGGCATCAGGCATGGTTCTTATCCACAAGCTGGCTAGACCAAATCTACCATCAGTGACTCCTGTCTGCATCATGGCGTGCTCGATGATTTGCAATGGCCAATGGGCAGGAAAGACCTTGATCCGAAGTGATCAAGGGTGTGCCGTACGCCTTACGTCGGCATCACATGGGGGTTGTTCCAGATCTATGTCCCCTCTTCTGCTCTGATAGCCCGAACGACCGAAAAATAAATTCACCATCATCTAGAACAACCCAGTATGCTGGATGGATGTATGAGTCTGGGAATTCGTTACATTCTCTTCGGCGTTGTCTAGGCATTTGCCTGATGCCCGTCACTTTGTGTTTGGGGTCAAACAATTCCCAGACTCCCGTGTGGCGCGTACACGCCCATGTGGCGCTTCTCCTGAAGCCAACAAAACTAATCCCGGATAACTTATAATAGGCACAGAAGATGCAATACGACCAAATGACAGGTACGGTTGCTCTTCAGAGCCCAATAAACAACTACATGAACGGCAGAGGGGCCTGGAACTCCTCAAGACGGGATGCAACAGACTTTCATGGCGCTGACCTACGCCTAAACCCTGACCAGGGCTGTAAAGCTTCCAGAGGCCGGTAGATGCTGGTTTTAGATGGTCCACAACGATTTAGGGTTTATAGGGTTTGTAGATGGTGCGAACTTTCTTGGTTTTTGTTTCGGGGATTTCGTTGTCAATAAGCCAGCAAGGTTTACATTCGAACAGGATTCCTACAGGGGTCCATGGGGTTCAGGGTTTTGGGATTTGGGGTTTCGAACCATATGGTAATGTGGGTTTCGGGGTTTAAGGTTCAGGGGTTTACGGCTACAGGTTGCGATCTTGCAAGAATGCGGCAAGGGTCCTTACAACAAAAGAGCTTCCGTCGCGTGGAGGCGTGGTAGTTGAGAGCTGGCCCGCTCCATGGGCCTATAGAATATAAGTTGTATCACAAGTTACTGCGCAAGATAATACTACAATATGTAGGTTAACCTGATAGTATAAGAGAATGCAATGCAATTTAGTTGAAATACACCACAACGAAATATCATACATACCAAGGAATAATAATAATAATATATATATATATATATCATGAAATACTCTTAAAATACAATACAATATAAGATAGCATCATAAAACACAGTATAATTCAGAATAACATAACATAACCTAACGTAACATAAGATGAGATAAGATCAGGTAACGGGATATGACATCCACGAATAAGTTAAAGTCATAGTATGTGTTTGAACCATGGTTTAGGGGGAACACCAGCGTGCTCCCTGAGCGAATGCAAGCGCGTATGGCGCGATGCTTAGTAAGTCGCGTGATACCGGGCAGAAGTCTACTAAGCATGGAACTCTGCACCACGATAGGTGTCACAAGGGAGCAGGCAGGAAGGCCTATGTAGCAGTGAGTAGGGCGTTGGAGCTGAGGTGGGTGAGGGCTTTCGCCAACTTTCCTTGGAGCTGCTCTCTTTGGGCAGTTCGAGCCAATGAATGGGTGCAGAACCTATTTCCTGCATTTGGGTACCGTTATAGGGAGTTGATATCGGATGTCGATGGTATGCTGGAATCCGGTAAACGCGAAACGCTCCGGGAGCAAGCAGCCACGGCCGCTTGTGAGACGAGGTATTGCAGGCGAAAAGAGTAGTGCAAAGTGCACACAGCAGGACAACTAGACATTCAGGGCCAAGAGAGGCCCGGGCATGGCAGCCCTTTGGCTGCTCCAGGTACCAGGTATCACCATGCTGTATAACAAGTGCGTGTGTAGTATATATATATATATACACATCCTATACATACAGTGTATGTGACAGTATATACATGTATTTATCCGTTTAGCTATGTATTAATATATCTGTCCACTGCACGCTAATGTAAGCATACGCTTATCCTAGCAAGTTGGAACGACGTTGTGTCAACTGGTTCAACAAGCTTTCGCGCTGGCAAGTGTCGGGGCAGTGATCTGGCGTCCCTGCCTCCCTTGCCCGAGCACAGCAGCTTTGTACGAAAGGCACCTTTCGAAGGACAAGCCTTCTGCGTTTCGTGCAAACTAACCTCGACATCCATCGGACCATAAACTGTAAGACATTATGTACATATATGTATACAAAGTGCATAGTATATAACCATGACTTCCCGAGAGACACCCGGCAAAAAACAATCGGGACCCTCGGAGCTGCAGCTGCCTCGCTCCGAGGACGTTGGCTCAGATGGCGAAGGTCTGAGAACGACGTCGCGGTTCCTTCTTCTGCATGCCTTCAGCAAACGCTGGGAAGCTTCTACGGCCCATGAGAGCAGTTAGACTTAGAGCCCGACAAGAATACCAAGTCCACGATGACAAAAAACCCAAGGGCTGCAACCCCACCATGAATTCAGGCTGTATGATGGGGAGAGCGGACAAAGTCTGGCTTCTGTCTTTCAGCTTTCAGCATGCCCTGAGGAGCTGTCTAGCCTACAAACCCTGGTCAGCCCAAGGCGACTTGATTTGTTTATCTCAGTGTATTTATTCTCTTTCTTGTTAAGATAAACACATATTCAATGTAGTATCATATCAAGGCTCTTTACCGCTTACCCGAAGCTTACCCCGAAGCCTGAAACCTACATCCCAAACCCTCAGTCAAAAAAACCTAAAGGTCCAAACTCTACCTTTTCGAGTGAGTTGTAGCCGCCCCGAACACGGAGGCTTCAAAACAAAGAGGTTGTCCTTACCTGTATGTTTGATTGTTACTGGTAGTTAGTATTCACTGTTCACTATATATCATCATCGCTGATATTGCATTCTCACGAGCAGTCTCGTTAGCTTTCCCAATTTTAGTATTCGTGCATTCGTCTTGTGTGACCTGGTTGGGATTAGGGATGTGGTCATGTGCAGCTGCCCCTAGCCGTGATGTTTGTTAGGTTTGGGCCAAGGATTTGAGATCTGTTTGCCTCTTACTTCGCAAGGACGACCCCGCATTGCAGGGTTGACAAGGGTTTAGGGTTTAGGTTTGAGGGTCTCTAAACTAAACTACTTAAGCTCTCCATAGCCCCACAGATCAGGGACACAGTGCCAAACGAGCCGCTTCGGCTGACCTGGTTAGCCAGGGCCTGCTGCCTCCTCGGATAAGTCCAGTGGACTTGGGGTACAAGAACCTATCGTCTCCATTGTAGTTCCCTTTTTTTTGGTTTAACCAAATTTATATTAAGGATTTTATAAGGTATCCCCACAATGGGACTACAATGGAGACTATAGGAACTTTCGAAAAGCACCTATAAACGGACCCGAAACCTGAAACACGACAAACACCTGACAGGAAGCCCCTCACGGAAACCTTCGAAAGAGGACGTAAAGATCCCTTGAGGACGGTGTAGCTTGATGCCCTTATAAACATAAACGTTATACCATCTGCTGGGGCCGCAGACATTCCCCTCTCGAGCGACTTAAGACGAGTTTGTGGCTAGGAGATGTCATGAACCATATCCGATGCTTCACACTCGCAGTCCAAAACGCAAAGCAGCGGAAACGCACAGACATTCAAATACAAAACACTAAATGCTGCAGGGCCAAGGCTCTTCCGCAGATCCGTGATTGAGTAGGCGATGGTTGTGATATCTGACTCTGTATCGTTGACCTGCGATCGCATGCTTGCACAGATCAGATGCTCCGAAGTTGGGAAAAAACGGGCTCTGGAGATGGAAAATGCGTCGGACATCCTCCCAACCAAGGAACATGAAGTAGCAATGCCAGATGCTATGCCAGTGTGAGAGAGTTCACAGTTTGCATTTTGCCTGCAGGATTTATTATTAGGCTGTTGAAGTTTGCAGATCGAACTATATAGTTCATGTAGACTCGTTCTCGAAGTCTGAAACTTTGCAGCCTGTGGAGAAACCTTCTGCATCAGTCCCTAAACTGTCCATGATTATCCTACTTCCGGTCATATCTGTTATTCAAAATTTATTGCTATAGTAAGTGTTGGCTTTGCTTATACTGTCTTTTATTATCATCACAGGGTGTTCCTACTATTGGTATTGCTGCGCTGGGGTTTCGAAGCTGCACGACAGTTCCAGAGCTGCTTCAAAAAAAAGCACCCAGTTTCTCAGCCGAGCTTCACGACCCCAATTGCCGCCCGTCATTTCCTTGGTCTCTTTGGGTTCCTACGGGCGTGGGTCTGCCAGACATCGGCCCTAATGTAGGCACCTTAATAATTAGAATAGGGTTTTGGGGCCCAATATACTATAGTTGTTCTTCGGGAGCCCCCAATAAAATAGTATTGGTAATTATTTAGGTCCCTATATGAAACCTTGTTAAGATGTTGTTAGTTTGGGGCTTTGAGCTCAGGGGAGCGTGGCACGGAAAGGATCCAGTGCATGCCGTAACGCCGAGCTACTTCCGCTGAGTACTGGTTCAACGGGTAAGGAAAACACTCTGTCGGTCCAACCTATCCACCCCTACAACTTTCGTCGGCGACTAGTCCAAACGCATCCAGCCTGAAACCCAGGCGCGAAACACCGAACAATGCATGCACCCGGCGTCCGAAACCCGAATCCATCGACAGAACCAAACCATCGAGCAGCACGCACCATAAGTCCGAGTTAGGCCCCGCCCTACCCCGCCATCAAGCTATGCACCTGAACCCTACCCAGAGGCCCCATAGTAATTTCTTTTTGGGATTACCTTATAGGATTCTAAATATGAACCCCAAAAAGGAACTACTATGGGGCCTATGGGTAGGCCATTCTAAAACGCACCTTTCGCTAATCCAAGCTTCCAGCTGCGCCCGTCGTCCGGCGAAGCGAATCTTGCACCTTCCGCATATGAGGCTTCAGGGTTTCAGGTCGGCTTTCAGACTTCAATATAGGGGCCTTAATAGTTAGAAAAGGGATCTGAGGTGTATATATATATATATACACATTACAATACTAAATTTTAATAAGTAGCCCCCAAAAATAGTAGAGGTAATTATGTAGGCCCCTCTAATATTAGCATCTCACCACTCGCAGTAAGCTGACCTTGCTTTAACTCCAGTGTCTCAGCCCTGGGTTCCGTACCAAGAAAGCCTACGCTGAACCCTGAGCCCTGTTTCCACCGTCGACAGATCGTTTTCTGAGAGCCAGAACACCATCGGTGGCAATATCACATGGCGGCCTTCATATTACGGATAGGCATTTTTGGGGTATCTTACAAATAAAAAATAAAAGAAACAACACACATACATACATACATACACACATACACACATACATACATACATACATACATACATACATACATACATACATACCTACATTGCGTGTGTATACATACATGCACACGTACTGTGATGTATCAGGCATGCTCGAGGTGATGGCTTCAGGTCTCTACATGAAACCATGACCGTGCAACGTACACAATCCCAAGTTCCGTTTGAACTTCTCTGTTCCTAGTAGATTGGAAAACCTGTCCGAATCCGCACGATCAACTCTATCCCGCAACCTCTTTACAACCAATCTCAATCGAGTTTATGAGTTGCGCCGTATGCTTCGCGGTGCACGGCCATTTCACGAAAGGCCGCCGTTCGCATTTAGGAGTTTAGGCTTTGAGGGCACGGGAGCCTGAATCTTAAACCATGATTGCCACGGGAGGCTCGTGGTACGTCGTAGAGCCATTCCCAGTGCATTACAAAAGCCTGACCACCGAAATGACGAGTGCGGACATGATCCAGCGAATCTAGTGAAGTGTGGTACATTCAACTTGTAGGATTCTTGCTGCGGCTCTTGGCCAATCCTGCCTAGTCAACATGTAATCCTGATGGAAACCTAAGAGGTGAATAGCGGCAGTCATGTCAGGACCCGCAGATTTTTGAAAGAATCCCTAGCAGCCCCAGCAACAACAGACACCCCCTGGACAACCATAAGACACCACCATGCTAAAGCCCATAAAGCGTCTTACAAAAGCCCCTCGAAGCCCAAACCCCATAAAGATACACCAAGACCCCCGACCCAGGAAGTACCCCCGAAAACCATAAACCCTACACCCTGGAAGCCCTCAAACCCCAAACCCTAAACCCTAAACACAGCCCCAGCCCTGGCCTGGGCACACAGGTCTCGAAGACAAAGCGGTTCTGGACGCAAGCGATGAACTCACTCATGTCCTCGGTCTGGGAGTTTCCGAAAATAGGGGACCCTAATATAGCACCCTAAATAGTAGGGTCCTTATTATAAGGAAGGCAAAATAAGGCACCCCTTCTTTTCGGAAACTCCCGTCTAGGGTCTAGGGTTATATCGGCTTTCGGGGTTTATGCCCTCACAACTCGGACAGGCAGCCATGTGCCAGGAACCTCGCCCAGGCATGTCCGAGAGTGAGTGCTGCAACCCTAAACCATGAAACCCTAAACCTTGAACCCTCCCGCGCCTCCCCCGGAAATGAAACCCTAATTCCTGAAACCCTAAGCCCTAAACCCTGAAACCCAAAACCCTAAACCCTGAAACCCTAAACCCCGCGGCCAAGCGAACCTGCAAACAGTGTCACCCGACCTGCGAATATGGAACCGCTCAGCACTTTGGCAAACGACAGCACATTAGCCGCCGATACATTAACCCCGGATGTCATAGGTCAGGATCCCTGAGGCTTCATGTGTCCATATCGCATATACTCTGGCCTTAAAGGGGGTTCCCAATTCGGTATCATGTCCTCGGTGAGAATGCGGGTTAAGGCCGAGCGACTGAACTAAAGCTAAACATGCCGGGAACCTTCCAAACCCTAAATCCCCCAAGCCGTCAGCCCTAAAACCCCAAAGCCCTATGCCTTGGGGTCGAAGGCTTTCCAGATGCCTCCGAAGAGAAGAGCTCAGAGACTTTGTTGGGCCCGAACAAAATGACACTTATGGAAATTTAGGGTGCGACCCCGCGTAGGGCCCCTTATAGGGTTCTTTGGGATTGTATACGATAACTGAATACCATAGAAACCTCGAGGGAGAGCATTGGTAATTCCTAAGGCTCTTATTAGGCCTGTCCCCGAAGACTGCCCAGTGTCTGATAAGTCCACCAGCACAACTTTCGCATCCTTGAGATCCGGCATCATATCCTTTGGGGGCTGCTCTCGTTGCTATCGGCTCGGGAGTCGTGATTTTCGGGGCTTGGGGGCCCTGAGTTTCAAGTGTAGAAGGACTGTCCCCTCCGGCTGAAACGTAGGCTTTGTCCGCTTTGTCACAGTCTCGCCAGCCCAACAACAGCAGAAAGAAAAAGAAGAGTTTCATGTAGGGCATGCTCCCCAACTTCCCCAAAGCCACACGTGCCGCCATAGGGGTGCCGGAGATAGGGCAGCGCACTCAGATATAGTAGAATGTGTCACGTACGTGTTTATAGGGGCTGTGGAACCTGTACAGCAGGCAATTTGGGGGTGAGGCCTTCTCCTCTCCTGCGGCGTGAGCAGGTCAGTACTGCCAGTACTCACTTGTGGAGTTGCATCTGGCACTTGTTGACTTATATTAGCCTTGTATCCTAGTATGGCGTTTAGGGTTTCGGTTTTATGGAGTTTCAGAGATGGGGCGAGGCACAGATGCACATCACATGCAGCTGAGATGCGATGTTGGGCTGAAGCACGTGGAGCAAATCCACCAGGCATTCAAGCAAACACGACAAAGTGACGGCAGGATTGGCAACTGCATTCGCCACGCCTGGGCTGCTGATTTGGTGTTGGAATTTGTGGGATGACTGCCTACAAGCCTGCCGTGTTTGCCAACAAGCATGTTCTCGCTGCAGTCGGTCTTTTCATCTTCGCCTGGTTCACCATTTATGTACGGATATACATGTATGTTTGTACATCTATATATGTATATATGTGTGTATACACATTAAGCGCAAACGTAACACATACACTAACACACAGATATATAACCTATGTGTATGCATGCATAAGTCTCCATACACATATCTCACGTTAAACTTGGCTAGCGCCTCATCCCCACCAAACCCTAAACCCTAAACCCTAAACCCTCAACCCTTAACCCTAAACCCTAAACCCTAAACCCCTTAACCCTGAAACCCTAAACCCTTGCCTGCCTCTTCGAGGGGCCTCGGGCAAGTTTCACATACATCCCTTGACGGTGCAAGCAGTCGAGAAGCAGTCGGGAAGGAACTCAAAGACGCAGACCAGGTCCTGCGCGCACCAATGCTCGCAGGCTTAACGGTCCCTCTCAATCTCACATCATTTATGAGATCTAGAAATTAAATAGAAGTGAAAGAAGATGACGATGACCTTGCGTGTTGTTCCAGCCGGCTCCTCCTGAAGAAAACTTGCTTGATGAATGGTCATCAATGCAGAAACCCAATGAACCAAACCTGGAATAATAATCAGGTGTAGATCTGGTGACAACTTCCTGGCTTGATTTCTAAGGGACCCACGACCTCACGCTCTCTCGGAGTAGCTTGGGCTTGCATTCCTATCTGGCTCTCGAGAAGGGGGTTGCCCCCAAAGCCCTCCATGGGACCTCAATCCCGTCTGCCAGGAAGTGATTCGTCAGCGTATGCTGCTCATCCGGGCCCAGATAGCTCCAGCCTGCCACTAACTCGGCTTGAGGGTCTCAGAGTCTCAGATTGATCCGAGCATGTTTTTTTTGCTTCTCATGTGGGGGTTTCCGAAAATAGGGGACCCTAATATAGCAGCCCAAATAGTGGGATCCTTATTATAAGGACCCCTAAGTAAGGTACCCCCTATTTACGGAAACTCCCATGTGAACCCAGGTCTCCAGTGCATTGACGAGGCGCTAGTTTTCAGCTGTTCATAGGCGGACATGTCCTCGATACCTCGGAACGGCTGCTGTTGTCGTGCATGAAGGTGTGGTATGACGGGCCTCAAGAGTCTCTCACAAAGGGCGGGGGGGGGGGGGGGGGNNGTTCTTTCTGAGAGCTGCTTTGAAGCATTTGCATGCAAATGTTGGCCCCGCATGCTGAACAACCGAGATTTCCGATGTGTCTCGTTGGCAAAACACACGGCCAAATACTCTCTCCCCGCTCAGATGCTGATGTTTTACAGGCTTGGAGGTGACGCTGTCGGGAGGTTCTTGAGCTGGGAATTCCATGCCATGCAGTGTCGCGGTTCAAAGTCGCTTTGTCTCTTCCATGCAGTCAGCAAGTCCTGTGTCTCAGCTTGAACATAGTACTTCCTGCGTCTGAGCAGGCATTGTTGCTGAAGGGTGAAGCTACCCAACCCAGTCACGAAACACGCAGTCTAACAGTTAACATGGAAGAAATTGGAGTACCTGTAGATTGAGACCTGCAGTAACCTCAACTTCATCCTGAAACCAGCCATTGACTACACAGGTGCGCATGAGACAGGCCAGCCGAATGAGCACCAGGTCCTGTGCAAGTGAGATTATATGGTCTCGGTCTAGATTCAACCGAGGCCGACAGTGCTTGGCTCAGAAAGGTTGGGTCGGATCAGTTTAGGAGGTGTGACAGCAGCATGACGAACTTAGTCCGACTTCTTCCCTGTCAAGACCCTTCGAGCATGTTTTTCTTGAGTGCGCACAAACTTGGGCTGAGCTAGACGAGCTCACATACAATCTTGATGTGTGCGCACGGGGCCTCAAGTTGAAATCTGAACCGGGGTCTTTGCCCGCACTCAGAGGAGTCTGTTGTAATGTGATTGGAGTCCAGAGATTCAGCTTCAGTTTGAGCGCAGGATGCAAAACAAACCTGCCGAAAACTTGGCAGACCACTGACGAAGGCCTGAGGCTCGAAATTGTTTCGCACCCGCCGACAAAGCTGAGCACAGTGGAAGCGGTGGACATCCAAGTGGGTTGACTGCCACAAACAGTGAGTGCGTGCGCATTCTAAGCGCCACAGCCAAGCCCAACAACCCTAAACCCTAAACCCTCAAACCCCATGCCCTAAACGAACCGTCCTCGGGCGTTCGAAAGGGCGCTTGCAGGGCTTGGGCCCGGGCAATCAAGTAGCCTCGCGCTGGCTTAGAAAATGAGGGTTTAGGCCGTTTAAGGATGCTTCTTCTAATTTAACTCTAAGGGCGCTCTCGGACATGCCAGGCGAGGTTCTTGGGGCTTCGTCGGTTGGAGGTGACACTTATTACGTCTATCATGGTTTAGGCCTTAAGCCCTAACTGCCCTACACCCATAAGCCCTAAACTGATAGGGGTTTACGGTTTCAGGCCATAGGGTTCAGGATCGGCATTCGCACTTACTGCTGACAATGCAAGGGTTCACCTCGAATTCCTAGTAGCTCTGGTTGAGGGTTTAGGGTAGACTCGACCACGCTACCATCATCCAGCTCTGAAGACCCAAAGCCATGAGCCAAAGTAGCCCTCTGCTGCAAGACAAGCCATGCCAGCCCCGAAGCCAGCTTTGAATCTGACGCATCTCCGGGATTGAGTCCGATGCTTGTTTTGGGCATTCTTATCAGTTTTGCCAAGACACTCATCCGGAGCTGTTTGAGTGGCTGGGACTCTGTGTGCTGACGTCATTCTGCGGTTGTGACATTGTCGTGACATCACTCATGCCGTACAGGTCAAGACGACTTTTCTATGCACGATTCTGAGTTTGATGCTGTGTGATGCTCTAGGAAGAACACATCCAGGCGAGTGCACCGTCTGAACCAAGGAGCCCCAGTAGATGCCACGCGGGGTGGCTTTCCTGCAAAGAGCATAGGTTTCTGGGGTGCAGGCACGGGAATTTCGGTAAGTCTGGCCTGCACCCTCTGTATAAAAGTACTATACATGCAAAAGTGACAAGAAATGATGTATGCACTTATGTATGATGCGGTATACGGAATCTATGTTCTATATTTATGTGCATATAAATGTGCATATATATATATATGTGTGTGTGTGTATGTACATGTATATATACATATACATATGTGTGTATATGTATATGTATATGATATGTATGTGAATGTGTGTATATGTATATGAAGATTACACATGGAAACCTGGAGACCGAGGCCCTAAACAAGCCTATGCCAGGGGTCGCTTACTAGCCAGAAGCCGAGCCTCACAGTTTGTTCTGAATGGGATGCGGTAGAACATGGTGCTTGGTAGAGGTGTGGCAAAGGAAGGGTTCGGGGTTCGGGGTTCGGGGAACGGGGCTTCGGGTCTTCATGTAGAGTTTAGGGTCTTTTGTTCTACGGGCTCTTTTCCAACTTCATGCAGCGAGCTAGGGTCTAGGGTTGTAGTCTTATGTAGAGGCATATAGGCTTAGGGATTTGTAACAAAGGTCAGCACTATCGAGACCATCTCCATGCTTCGCCATTGCAGACGGGATTCAGTAGGTGCCGCAGCATGCGAACTGCTGCGATGACATTCTCGGCCCGTTTGGCATTGAGGAAGCGCGAGCCGTGCCCGGCTCCTAAGCCACTCCTCGGGACAGGATCGGGCTGTACAGAATCCGTCTACGCCACTTCACGGCGGACTCAGGTTCTTGTTGAGGGCTCGAAGGAATCGTCATACTGAAACTCGCAGCTGTGGCCTTCAGCCTTTGTTTTCTGCAGGTCTTTCGAGGATTCCCTTGCTGTGATTGTCGACCCCAGCGCCCCAAGGCCATGTACATCTCTGGAATGTCCCCCACAAACCCTCAATCGTCAGCAGAAACAATGTAGGTGCCACGGGCAATTGTGGGTTCAGGGTTTCTGTGGGAGGATTGTGCTTTCGGTCTTTGCAGCCACAAAACCTGCTTAGCCTGAGACCCTAAATGGATGATGTGTAGTTCGAGGCAGGGCAGGTAACCAGCACTTGCAAACCTAGCTCCACATACCGAAGCCAAGGCACATAAAGCCAAGGAGGAAGATTATGTAGAAGCGCAGGGCTTGCTCACCCTCTCTTCGCACCTGCAGGGTCCAGCACATGCTTGACCTGAATGCGACAGGTACGACAATCCAAGCCATCAAGGAGGCGTTTCAACGCCTAATCACAGCCTTCCAAGCAAGTGCAATGAAGAGTTCAGGACCCCAACTCAGGACGAGCCCGATGTAGAACGTCAGCCCTACCTATAGTCTCCATTGTAGTTCCTTTTGGGTGAAACCTTATAAGTTGATAAGATCCTAAATAAGTACTTGCTTAAATCAAAAAGAGAACTGCAATGGAGACTTAGGTTGTACATATAGAGAACATAAAATCTTCTTCGCGGCGGAGAGACGTATTTTCCGGGAGGGTGCGTTTCAGGCAGTAGCGCCCTTGCACCCCAAACTTCGAAACACCTTCAGAATCAGCTCGAATACTCCCCGAACATACCACCCGAGAATGCTGTTGAAGATGTGCTACATCTTCCGCAGTTTGTTGGTGGACCCGCGAAGTTTGTGACAGTTTTGCAGCATGTGGCCGCAGTGAAGCAGATTGAAGCAAACTGAACCCAATTTACGTTGGATATGCCTCAAAATGGAAGGCGACATGTGACCCTAAACCCTTTTTTTGAGCAGGGACTGCAATGCACTTAGCCCTGAATCCATTCAGCCACGCTCCGGACTCCTGACCCTAAACCCTAAACCCTAAACCTTGAACCCCTAAACCTGCATGCCCTTGCTGGCCTGTTCCTGAAGTTGCGCAACGTTGGCCGGGACATTCTCACCCTGGCATAGAATTGATCTGTCACGCTCAGCGCATGCTGAGTGGCAGGCTGTGGCAAACTTGGCTTCTAGAAGTAGACCGTTGAAGTACACAAACGTTCCGTGTTGAATCCACTTCAGGCTAAGTGTGAGTACCACATGGTCCATTTATTCAGTTGCGGCTGCTCCACAGCAAGATCCGACAAGTTTCAAATTGAGCTGCCATGATGCAAGGAAATCCAGGGCTTAGGCTACGCTTATAGGGCGAACTCCTATCATGTATCACATAGTACCGTACAGTAAGTCTACTCTACTCTACTCTAAAATAGACTAAAATATATTTACCTAAAGTCTCCATCGTAGTTCCTTTTTAAAGATTTTGGCTTAACCAAATTCATATGTAGGATCCTGCACAGTAACCCAACAAAGGAACGACAATGAAGACTATAGGCAACATACTATACTACTACGATAATCTACTACAATCGGGGTAGTTCTCTAAAATATGGACCTGCCTGAGGTCCCCAATATAGTACGACACCCTGAATTTCAAAAGAACCCTAAAAGGGACCGTAATTTAGACTAGCACCCATATGGAACTTCCATAAAAAGCCCCCCCCCTTAAACCCTAAACCCTAAACCCCCCCCTTCAGTCGACCCAATGCCTGGAGCATTTGCGCGAAGTTGAAGACCGCATGGAGCCGCAGAGTCGCTCGCAGCCTTGGCTAGGGCTTATAGGATTTAGGATTTAGGGTTCAGGGTTCAGGGTATAGGATTTAGGGTTTAGGGTTCAGGGTTCAGGGTTTAGGATTTAGGGTTGAGCGTTTAGGGTTCAGGGTTTCGGATTTGGGGTTTAAGGGTTTAGGATTTGGGGTTTAAGGGTTCAGGGGTTCAGGGTTTAGGGTTTCAGGGTTTAGGGTTCGGTTGCGGCCCTCACCCTCGGAGAAGCCAGGTGAGGTAATTGGTGCGATGTCGGTTGAGGTGAAACCCCTCCAATATTGTTAAGTTATACTACGTAATGCACCTCAAGCAACTTCGGTGTAGGAGCCTTGCTACTGCTATAATGTATGGACATTAGTCCGGATGTTAGCCCAGTGCAGTCACACGGGCAAGCTGCAAGGTGGGCGCTGCTAAGGTGAAACTTGCGAGTGAAAAGCCTATTCAGGGAGGAGGGGCTAGTGGGGGGAGCACTGGGGCTAGCAACTTTGTTCGAACTCCGAAAACTGTATGCACGACCCGTGAAGGCCTAGGTAAGGAATCTGTCAATCCGTGAAACATGTCGTCATGAAACAACTTTAACTCGATTTACCTTGACTTTCATAGCTACATAAAAAAAGTACATCGTCTTAACATAGACTGCCGGTTCTAGTTTGATTTAGCCTGCCTGTTCTACTTGACGCCTCTCACTCCGCTGCTCCCTCTCAGACGTCTCTAGATTCTTGTGTTGCGCGTTGTGTAGCGCCCGCGCAGAGTGCCAGGACAACTATTCCGAGACATGTCTTCAGACCCATCATGCGATGAGTGGAGTTGTCATGAAGCACTCCACAAGACAACCAAACTCCTTCTCGCATGAATTCCGTGGTTCAGCCAGGGTTCGGTTGATGGTTTAGGGTTCCTGCACGGGGATCCGCTCAGGATTCAAATGTACTGCGGATTAACAGGAATTGTAAGGGGATCCTCTCTGAATTCCGTTTATCAAGGCTTTGATGTGTTTTAACTAGCGATTTCGCGAAAATCTTACTTTAGGGCTTTTCAGAGTCCTGATGTTGGCTGTAGCCGGGACGACCCTCATGCCCCTCCTGCTCCATCCGATCAGATCCTCCACACAACCAGGTGAGGCTTCTGGGTCGAAGGGGAGAGCAGGCACCGTAAATCACTTCTGGCACCCGTCGTTTTCATCCGCAAAAGCGGGTAACCCTCCCCGTGTCGGTGCGCGCAGCCGAGGGCTACAACAAGACTCTGCCGTGCTCTCTGTCGGTGGTCCGTCGCGTCAACATGACCAGGGCCTGCAGGAAGGCTACATAGCTCATTGTTCTGCCAGGACTTGATGCGGCAACAACTCGTCATTTCGCAGCTCCATGTCATTCAGGTAGAAGGCACGGGAGGCATTCACAAAGCGCGGGTTGTCCAGGATGAAGCTCCCATCCATGTTGGCGACCATGCCTTGCGGCGTGCTATGAAAACACCTCCGACTACGAAGCTGAGCAAAGATCTCCTCGCCTGGGAGCACGGAAGGCCCCCAGAGGGGCCCGTTTCTCTTCAAGCAGTGTACCGGATCTTTGGGATACATCTCGCAGAATTGCGCTACGGATACGGCCTTGGTGATAAGTCCGACCTGTTGCATGCACCTCACGAACCCCTGGGGCAGACTGAAGACCGTGATCCAAGCCTGGAAGGTCTCTGCCACAAACTGATACAGCTCATCACTATGAGTTCCAATGATAAGCCGATAGACCTTGCGATCCATCACCTCTCTTACTCTGGGATCGGCTAGCAGTGGACCCTCTGCCCCCTGGATGTCGATGTGCAACAGATCCAAGTGCTGCACTCCCTCCATCATCTCCAAGAAGAGCTCCACATCTGCCTTCGTACATTTCAATGTAGCATCAATACCATTAAGCGTCAACACCTTCCGCGCACCAAGGCAGTGATCCCTCAGGGGCTCCACCAGGAACAAACGATGTGGCATGGGATTCTTCGCGCGCAAGAATGCGATGCTGCGAGCACCCCAGGTCCCCCATCGGGCGCCCAGCTCCATGGCATTGAAAGACCCGTGAGCTCGAAGAACAGACTGGTAGACGGCGACATGCTCGAAGTACTCCTCATCGATCAAGGGCAACTGTGGTTGAGCAAAGGGAAACCTAGACCTCGCGAAGGCTTCCTGCTCGTGACACGCGTGCCAGCGGCTTGGCAGAAACAGGTAGTACCGAAAGGTGCCCCAGGGACACGCATACGTGGCCGGGCGCTCAGCGTCCCACTGACTGGCATTGCAGAAGTTTTCGCAATCAAAGTGTGCTGGTACCCTTAGGCCGTTGAGCTCTGTGAGTATGCCGGGCTCCAGTGGATATGATTGCAGTTGCACCTGAAGCATGACAGGATGGTGATGGTAGGCTTTGCCATCCAATGGGTTCAGCGCAAACGTCTCCGCTCGGCACAGCAAGTTGAGCAGATTGATCAGTGGCAAAGCCGTAAACGATGCCATCTCGAGTTGTCTGCTACGCTCTAATCATGAACTCCTCGAGCTGGTGGAAGAAGGATCGCATTGCTAATAGTTTCTATGTGCTTTAGGTCTCGGGGCTGTGGCTTTACAGATGTTAGGTCTCATTGCAGTTGAGGGGTTCGGGCGGGTGGTCGTGTGGCGATGTGAGCCTGGACAGAAACATGGCCAGCTTCTAGAGGCACCTCGCCTACCCTCTACTGCCTCACGCACCCTATGCCCTAAACCCTAAACCCTAAAGCCTGAACCCTAAACCCTAAACCCGTTGTCAGCAGATACTTTGTGACAATGTAATCGAGCATTGCAAAATACATGCATTGGAGTTCAGCTTAAGCAGCAGAATCTGACCACAGGTCCATCTGCCTGCGTATGTATACTTTCTGTATGTCTCTCTGTGTGTATGTATATATATATATATATGTATATGTGTGTGTGTGCATGCCTGTGATGATACGTGTATGTATATGCGTGCTCATCCCTATAGATTGAACTGAGCCCTGCGCCACAAGCAAGTTCCGTTCAGTCTCTTCTGATACCATATGTACTTTACTCCGTACGGCCGCCCCTGTATCATGACCATCACCGCATCGTCACCCAAATCGTCATCATCATCATTATCATCGTCATCATCATCAACATCATCAGCAGCATCATCGTCTTCATCACCTAGGTCATCATAACACTGCTACAACGACGACTGCGACATATAATCACTATGCTTGATGGCAATCGGGATGCCGACGACACCGCCACGACCGTTGCTGCCACTAGCTTCGGTGTTGTCATAGATATTCATTCGGCCACTATGGACTCTCATAGTCATGAGGCCCGTTTCTTAGTGTGATGCTCCTGCTGTTTTTCTTTACTTGCTCAGCCCCAATGCTGATACGTTCGGAGCTGCTTATAACCGTGTTTCCGCTACATAAACCCATTCCATTTCCGTGGCCAAGGATCGACTCGAGCCCTTGTTGTGGCAAGTCCTCCAGACAAAGCCCTACTCAAGGCGCCTCAACTAACTATTTCTAGCTGCTGGGGCTGCAGGCCTTGATGGTTTTCATAGCCACAGTCAGTTTGGCTGTGGCATATCGCCAGGCCAGTTCATACAGCAATTGGTTCCCAAGCTTCTTCAACAGACAGGGATTTCGATGGAGTTTCTACACTTCAGGGTTTTGGGCCCCCCCGNNCCCCCCCCCCCCCCCCCCGCAACCCCACCAATAACTCCCAACCTTCAATGTCTACGGGCTCAGAGGGGCCAGGATTTCTCAGTGTCTCTAGATCAGAGAGGCCGCCAAGGTTCAGCTTCGGGCCGTGTCGCGTCCCTAGGCCCTAGGCTCTCACCCTTCGGGTTTGTTCAGCCTCCGCCATTGCTGTTGCCGGCACTTACACTGCAAGATAAAATGGCTAACTGAACCAATGAATTTCCCTTAGATAGCAGTGCTTCTCTCGCAGAGTTTTGTAGAGTCGGTAGAGCATGTTCTCTTTTTGCAGTCAACTCTACTTTTTGGGTAGTGATACCTAGCCATAGGTGTACATCAAACAGCACATCCCCGACAGGACAAGAAGGACGTTGGGTGTCGGCGTCCTTGACGCTCGGCACGACATTTTGGCAGTTCTCCACCTGGGAATTCGGAAGTTGGGCTTTCAACTCCGGAATTCTGCAAGATTGGCAGGGTCCATAGATGACCCCGAGGTTGTGGCGATGCAGTGCTTGTGCTGTCGTTGTTGTTGCTATTGTTGCAGTAGTATCACTCTTGTCGCAGTCATCCTCGTGGTTGTTACCATTGTTGCTAATACTAGGCACTGCTGGCGCCGTTAACATTTCTGCTGCTTCCTTTGCCGGTTGCTCTACTTGCTATGTGTTGCAGCTACTGCTGCTTTTGATTACGTTGCGATTGCTGATTCTGATGCTGCTGCTCCTCCTGTGGTTGTTGTTGTTGGTGGTGGCATCTGTGGTTGTCCAGTGTACTGTATACACTACATCTACAATGCAGTTGTCTATATGATCTATACATATATATATATATATACACATATATATATACACAGATAGCACGATACATGGGACAGTGCTTAATTATGGTTGCAACCCGTAGCTCGAAAATCGGCTTGAGCTTCGCCCTTGCGCGGTCTTGTGCGCACACGGCTTAAACACATTCCCACCGTGAAGCCGTGATAAGCCAAGTGCTACACTCTTTGTGTGTCGGACAACGGGCTTTTGCATATCGCCGGCTAGGGGGTCGATAATGGGCTACCCAGTTGAACGGTAACGGACTTTAAACAAGGCAGGCCAACTTACCCCAGGTACCTTACACTGCTTATCGCTCTTGCGCTCGCCCATTGCGCCGTGCTGGTTTTGGAGCACGCCCTAAACCTGCATCAACATATCAAAGTGCGCTATTCGTCTGTGGTCAAGAGGCGGGGGTTTAGAACGACTCTCACATACTGCATGTTCTATGTCGCTTGTAGATTCGCTGGTAGATGTAAAGAACAGATCAACCAGCAAGTGGATCCGATGCCAAGGCACCAAGTAAAGAACTGCACTCTCGGGCCGTCGCCTTGGCTGGTGGCCCGGAGGGATAGTTTCTTCGTTGGCAAACGCATACAAATCGGGGACGTGGTAGCTAGAATAGGGCTATGGAGCACAATATGAAGTATACGTATATAAGTCCATTACATTTTTCTGACCCTTTTGTATACCCAGGACTGGCTGATTCTTGGTCGTGCCAAGAGTCAGCAAACTAAAGTTCCACAACAAATCCCGTCATGGCAGCATGCCGTCGTAGAGTTATATTGAGAGGTGCTGATATGCAGCACCTGCCAAAGTGTCTTCCGGTTTGGCCCCAACTGCATGGATATTCATGACGAATCAATGATGGCACACAGCACCCCGCATCTCACCGACCCCAATTTCCACCGCAACGAGCCCCGACAAAAAAATCCTGAAATGCATACCTGTTTTTTTCGTATAAGGGCTTGGGACGTAGGCTAGCCCTGGTGCTCCAAAACCCTCAGAACCCCTAGAAGCCCGAAGTTAGATGCAGCCTGAAGGCTCATGATTCGGCACTTGGCTGGCAACAAACTTGCTCTTGCCTTTGCCACTCCACTCTGGGTTAAGGGTTTAGGGTTGCGCATTGGTAACAGGCCTTCAGGCTTTAAGCTCCAAGGGCAGAGGGTCTAAAAGTCTGGCAGGGGTTTCGCAGTACATGTGCTTGGGCCTTCTTGGACAATGAGGGTCTCAAGAACAACGGGAAGCCGGACTGTCAAAGTTGCGACATTTACTGGCATTTGGATTGCTGCCCTCGTCGCCGGTTGAATACAGATGGACAGAATGATTAACATGGCAAATTCCGAACATAGAAGTGAAGACGGACATGGTGGTTAGCACGAAGTGGTTCCGACACTGTTCGGTCTTGCTGGTCATGCTACGTGATGTTCATGCTGGTGTTGGTGCTGATTGCTTCGAGTTGGCGATGGCACGCAAGTATCATTGCAGCTCGGATGAATCACACTAGCACTGCAGACAAAGTCTTCGTCCTGAAACAAAATATGGTAAATTGGCTACATCACCTTGTTGTGGTTGCTGTTGCTGCCGCCACTATTCAATGACTGGACCTGGAGGATGTGATTACGCTCTTCGCAAGCAGCAGCAATAACTTCATGATCATGCTAGCCAACATCATCATCACCCCCTTTTGTGTTCTTTCTTATCTCGAGCCCGCAATCAATGTCATTTCGTAAGCTTTCCAAGTAGTCTTGGCAACTGCTCTACAGCTCCATAGGCCTAGGTATCTTCAAACTGTTTTAGATTTGCTGTGCAGGCAACTGCCAAGATTGTGTCTTCAAAATTGCGAAGCTGGCTGCCGCATTGGCACTACATACTCAAGAACATTAAGCAAGTGGAAAGTCTACATGGGACAGTCGGTCCAAGGCTTGATTTGCAACCACATTGTAGCAGCCGAGCTTCCCAGAGGCCGAATGGCCATCAAGACCTCAAAGGTAGCACATGCAGTCCGATGACAGGCTCACATATCTTGTGAAGCCCGGCACCTAGATGTCCTGGCAGACCCCGGCGAAATCTGAAATTAAGCCCAGGTGCCAGGACGGCATGGATGTCGTCTGAATTCGGGCGAGCCCAGCTAACGATGTCTTGAAGCTCCTTCAGCATTGTGGTGGAGCAGGAGCAAGCATTCTTCGGACTGCGGGAGACTGATACTCGCAGGTCTCTCGACTGACGGCAACTTCAGCCCGTAACATCCACCGGAGCACCCCCTTGATTCAGGTTCGAAATGGACTTGCTCCGCAATCCCCAAGTCCCTCGTGCTTCTCCATTCCCGGCTCTCTCCTCCCACTGCTGCCGCCGAAGGCGGTAGTTTGCATCCTGTCACAACTACCGGATCTTGGGAAAAGTTTTGCCCTAAAGTTTCGGATAAAGATCGCAGCCAATTCCTATACTTGCTTGCAGAGCGAAAGATTGGAGCAGGAATTCGGAAGTCTAAGCTCCAGACAGGACTGGGCCCAAAGATATTATGAGGAATAACTTCTTGATCACGCTGTTACAAACCACTCCGTCATTATCATTTCATATGCTGTCGCCCCCACTATCAGTCAAATACAGGTTCCTTAATGTGCCTTATATATCACACAAGCAGTTTGGCACCGCAAAAAGCACAATCACGAGAACAAAATTTAGCACCAGAAAAAGCACAATCATGGGCACACAATTTCGCACCCGAAAATTGCGGTTTTGCTTGTGCTTTTTGTTGTGCTTCTGTTTGTGGTGACTATTTACCGTTACGCCAGTGTCATCATTGTTGTAGTATTATTTGTTGGCACTCACTCGCGACATTATTATAGTTGTTACTATTGTTCTTATGATAAGCCTAAACCCTAAACCCTAAACCCTAAACCCTCATCCCGACAACCGGAGACAAGACGAGCCTGAGGCCGAGTGAAGATCTCGTAGCGGTCGGCAAGTAACGCCAAAATGCCTAGCAGCCAGCTGGTCTAATGCCCTAAGGCTCCATGTACCCATATAGTACATACTTAGGCCTTAAAGTACCTATATAGGGACCCCTTTAAGGCCTAAGTATCTACTATAAAGGTACTTGGAGCCTTTGGGATGTAGGGGCCTAAACAATTACCAATACTATTTGGAGGATCCTGCTTATGACTACCGTATAATGGGCCCCAGAACCCGTAAACCGAATTCGTAGCAGTCCGAAACCAACAGAATGTGCAGGATCGTTAAACAGAAATACCCCAAAACATAAGCAGCCATAATATCACAAGACAAGTGATACCGACTATAGCGTTTCGACTCACAATAGTGATTAGAATCCTGAGCCTCTGAACCCTAAATCCTGAATCCCTAAACCCTAAACCCTAAAACCCCATAAACAGACTCTGTTGATCAGCTCTAAACCCTAAACCCTAAACCGCCGTCACCAACTTCCGGCTCAGCCGCTGATGCAGGAGGATTCGGAGCGATCCCTCTCCTGCCGGGCTCGGGGCAGGGGGGGGGGCCTTCCCAAGGACGAACCCAGGGTTTAGGGTTCAGGATTTAGGGCTTAGGGTTTAGGGTTTAGGGGTCTCAAAGAAGGTCCCATCAGGGATCCTTTGCAGGTTCCTTTATGACCCAGTGGTCTTGGAGATATTCCGTTCAAGGTGCTCGTCCTATAGCCGAAAGTGGATAGCTAGCCACGGCAGGTGTAGGGTTAGGGTCTGGAGGGACTCCTCCACCAGAGAACCCAAAACCCTTCATAAGGAGGCAGCGGCGACGGGTAGTTAGTTGGGAGAGTGATCAACGACTTCCTGATGACGAGAACCTCGAAACAAAAAACAAGACTTGGCTGCGCAAAGAACCTTCAAGGCCCTTGAGCCCTTAACAGCGCCGCTGTCCCACACTTTATGCCTCGGCCCGTTTTCAGTGGCCATTTTGCAATTCTGCTGCTGCATCAGCGGGCAAAAACCCACTGCACCTCTAAGGGTACCTCGACTTGTCCGACCCGGCTTGACCCAACCCCACAAAAAAACCCGATCTAGCACCCAGGACTGCCTGAGGCTGCTCGAAGATGATGTGGGAACCGTGCACCTCAGCAAAAAAACAGATGCAGAGTAGTACCAGTGCAGTCGCCATCGTAGTAGATAGTAATTAAACCCTAAACCCTAAACCCTAATGACTAGAAGCGGCGGCAGTAGCGGATCAGCCCTGACCTTGGAGCAAAAAAAGGTTGGGGACGCGCAGGTGAAGTCCTGCTGGAACATCCGAGCTGACATCCGAAAGTGAATTGATAATCATTATATTAAGGAACCCCCCCCAAAAAAAAATCCTATAGGGTTGGGGCATATATTATACTATATTACTATAACTATATTAAGGAACCCGCCAAGACCCTATTCTAATCCCAATGCCCATGGCTCCGAAAGTAATGGCCGCCGAGAGGCCGGATGAAGTTCCGGGAGGCAAGAGCGAAGTTGGTGAGGCAGCGTCGACTCCTGTGGTTAAGGCTTTCGGTTTTGGGAGGTTTCGAGCCTCACGACTTGGCCAACCGGACGAGGCGTTTAGGATTTGAGGGCCTAGAGGCTTCGGGGCGGGGGTTAGGGCCTCTTTTCCCGCGCATGGAGTGCCTCTTGGGTTCAGGAGCCTTTTTTTCCTGCGTAGTGGCACGGTGAACATTAGGCTTAGGAGGGTCGAAGCCTTAGCTGTTGGGTGTAAGGTCTTTGCCCAATCCAGGCTTGCAGTGGCAGGCTTTGCAAATGCGTAGTTTCGAACATGACTCCTTGCCATAACAATCAGATAATCACCTGTTGCCTTACGTAGCCACAACGAACCATAAGCCTTCCGACCCGAAACGCAACGATGCCAACGGACTGCTCTCACAAACTCCACTCCCACGGCAGGCCCTTCATGTTCGGAACCCAAGTCTACAGGTTTTGAGGGAGTAAGTATACTGAGTTGCAACTCTCCGGAAACCGATGGCCTCGGAAACCGAGATCTTTAAGTTAGAATCTGAACAGGAAGTTGAAACGGTCAGACTGAGGCTCTGGGCGGGTAGCTTTTGAAACATGTTTGCTCTGAGGGTTTAGGGTTTCCTGCTCATTTCTGTGATGATGAACATTGGGGCAGCATGTGTTACTCAGAAAACCTGCAACTAAGCCCGCGGCCCGAATCCGCCAACTAAGGCGACATTACCCCTGCTATTGGGCTTTGTCTTGCTAGTAATAATTAAAATCCCCCAATAAGGTTCCAAAAGCAGTTCGATCTGAAATCCCGCCTAACACCTTGAAAAATTCTGAAGGCCCCTACCAGGCCCTCCCCACCACGCCTCCAAGTCTTCCAGCCAACCACTTCGAATGAGCCTGGCCAGCCCCATAGGCTGCGTCGGCCTTGACTCTGGCGCTCTTCGTTGGGTAAGATAGGGGCCTTAATTTAATGACTGTAGAATAGGGTTTTGGGGCCCATTATATTATATTTATGATATAATGGTTTGATAGGGGCCTTAATTTAATGATTAGGACAGGGCTTTGGGGCCCATTATACTATATTTATGATACAATGGTAAGATAGGGGCCTTAATTTACCCACTATAGTAACTATATTTATAGTAAGGAACCCCCCTAAAATTGTCTTGGTAGTGATTTAGGCTTCTATATGAGGGGCTTCAATGCAAGACTGGCCTCTTGTCAATGTGTGCGTGTTTCGTTGTAATGCAACGTGCGCAACTACATGGCATCAGGTGCTTTGTTATCAACGTGGAATGTTGAACAAGCTCTGTGCTTGTTGGAGCACAACAAGGTTGCAATCGGCCTCCACACTTCAGTATAACATGCGCAGGTACAGTTAACTCTTACAGGTACATTATGTGTGCAGATTTCCACTCAGCGAAAAGAACTGAGTTCAAGCATCCTCTCGGTGCCAAGCCGAGTACTCACGAGTTGATCTCGTTGAAAACCTACTCCGAAAGCTGTACACTTGGGGGTTTCCGAAAATAGGGGACCCTGATATAGCACCCTAAATAGTAGGATCCTGATTGTAAGGACCCCCAAATTTAAGGTACCCTAATTTCCGGAAACTCCCCCTTGAATCGTATCGGATGCAGTGGTGCCAAAGTCGATGTCCTCGGCAGGGTTGTGCCAAATGCGCTGAGCGGCTCCGTAGGCTCAGCCGAGGGATCCTCAGCGCTGCAGTCGCTAGAGGGGGGTCCTTTCTTCCCGTTCAATGCCAGATTGCCTCTAGGACTTGAGCTCATGATTGTTTTTTGGTGTATCTTGGGTTGGAAAATGCTGCCACAGGCCTTTCACTATTGTATGGTCTCTCCATCCTCGATGTTTAAGTATACCGTGCTGCCTGCCAGCACACGGATGGCAGGTCTTCCATGACAACAAGCACAAGCTTGAAATCTCTGTGCCCAGGTGCGGCAGCTACTGATTTCTCTTGGGCTTTACCTGTTGGAGGACTACCAATATCTCCCACGACTCACGACTCACCACTGCTGAAGCCTAAGCACCTGTGCCAGGCATCTCAAATTCTGAGCCGGAAAGTGCTCAAACTCTAGCTCCAACGAATTGAACATTATGGGTCCCGAAAATAGTGTTCAGGAGCGTTGTCAGTATCTAGCTCCATGTCAACATCCCTGAACCTTCCATGGCTGATGAGACACTTCGGTCTCCAAAAGGTCCAACCTGCTAGGTTGGTTTACAGTGGTAGGGCTTCGTTGTTTGCAGCTTTCGGGCAAGAGCTTGGCGCTTTTGGGGTTTGAGGCTTGGGGTCTGTTGCTGTTGCGGTTGTCGTTGCTTTGTCGGTGTCGTCGTTGCGCATGTCGACGTGCGGACTGTTGCAAACCATACATGTGCGACCAACTATTCACGGTACGATGCTGTCACCTTTTGTCACATTCTATGTGGGCTTGTACCCTCGCGATGCCTTTAAGAGTCGGAACTTGTTGATTCTGCAGCAGTGGTGGTGGCGGTGGTGGTGGTGGTGGTGTGCTGCTGCTGCTGCCGATGCTGATGGTGGTGCCGGTGCAGGTGCTGGTGGCGGCGGCAGTGGTGGCGATCATGACGATCATGGTAGTGGTGATGGTTGTGGAAAATCAGTATAAGAAGAAGTGGTAGTGGTGAAGGTTGTGGAAAATCAGTATAAGAAACGATGCTCTCCTACTCCTACGCCTAGAGTCTACGCCAATATACATACGCCTACGCCTACTCCGACAACAATTACTACAACCGCAAACTGCCTGCATCGGCAACTGCAACAACAACAGCCACAACCGCGACGACCACGGCGACGATGTCGACAACGACGACAGAGTATGTGGTGTGAACAAATCTTGCAATCAATTGACAACCCGGCTACGAGCATAGAGCATAAACATGTACCTGTGCTGGCGAGCCTATCTTCAGCACGTGTGACCGCTTATGATGGCATGTCCCTTTGTTCGCTGACGGTCATACAGTTGCAATGGCTAAGGTTGCTGCGGCAAGTGCGCTTACACTTGTGGCAACAACCATCACGGCATGAGTGACCAAACCTAGCGGTCAGTCAACGAGTTGCAAAATGTCTAGTCAGCATCCTGGATTTGATGGCTAGCCGGTACCTCCGCGGAAAACCCCTACTGAAGCGGACACTCGAGGCATTGGCCTGAACTTCTCATCTGGGAACATCTCCTAATCGAGATTGGGGGCATCTGCTGGGTTTGTGGGTGTTTTCCTTTATGGGGGTTCTTAAGTGCACCGATTTTGCTGGTGCATTCAACCATCATTGCTGATCAGTCGCTTGCCCAGGTTAACATTCACGTATGCGTGCAGTTGCATGCAGTGTTGTGTACACATACAAAAAATACCCAAGTGGGTCGCCACATCCCAAGTACAATTGAGCAGCCCTTCGTTAGAATTATGAACCCTGAAAACTCCTGCTGCCCAAACCTCAAGAAGTTGGCGTTGACTTGGGCATACGAGCGGTTACCGACTAGGTTCCATGCGCGGGAAGGCTTGAAGGATTAGGCGACCTCGTTTGGCAGTTGCCGGTTGGGAGTCACGCTGTCAATAGGTAGAAACCCTAAACCCTAAACCCTAAAACCCTAAACCCTAAAACCCTCATCTACTCAGGGTCCTTTTCAGCTGCCCTTGCCGGTACCTTTTTGCGGTCACATCTTGACCCAACCCAAAAGCTATGGGACCCAGCCCTGGCAAGGTTTACACACATGTATGTGCATATATACATGTATACATAGACACAAGTACCTATACACATACTCACAGATTTTAGGATGTATGATTGTAAGCATAGATGTATGTATGTATGTATGTATGTATGTATGTATGTGCGCATGCCCGGACGGGTATTTCTGGGCAGTTCGCCAAATTGGGTTCTTTTGCGTTTTGGGCATCCAAAAGGCCCCTATTGGTCTTTTGTTTAGGGTTAGGGCAGAGCTGTTGTGGACGATGCATTAGGCTGCATTGGTTATCTCCTGATGAAACGACGGTGATGATGATGATGATGACGATGAGGAGGATGGGGGTCATGGAGATGAAACTGCAGGCGTTCGTAATAATGATGATGCTAATGGTGGTCAGGCTAAGAATGCTGCTGGTTGCCGATGAAGTTCAGAAAAGAAGAGTAGCAAGACCATGCACAACAGTGCGGTCATGGTCATGGTCAGGGCCATGACGACTACCGTGATGATATTGATGCACGAAGAAGATGATTGTCATTGGATGGCTTTGGGAATGTCGATCAGTGAAAATCTTCATCTTCGCCTGGAGCGTGTGACAGAGGTTTCCCGGTGCTGGCATCTACAGAAACGACAGACACTGTTGTCTGAGCTTGGCTCATGCAGAATATATGCAGCCCTCGCACTCATGAAGGTTCATCATACCAATGGTCTGTAATGAAGCAACCGTGGCTGCCCTGAGGTGCACAATGACATTCCCTCGAGGTCCTGATAAACTCGTGTCATCTTGCAGCACCGCTCTGCCAGGGAAGCCTGCGGCAGTTTCGAAGCATTTAGCATGTGACTTTCGGAATGTCGGAGAAACTTTTGGCTTGGAAGGCGTGCAGAGCCAAAAGGTTCTGGTGAAAAGATGCCTGAAGAACGAAGCTTCCCAAACAACAGATACCCTGAAGAATACATGTTTAAAGGATCTTCGGCCCCTTGGTATGTGCTGAGCACTGGATGTTGCTCTCCAGCCTGTGTAGCACGATCCAGGTAGCCGGGCTCCTTGCCGCACTGTGCTCATTTGCGGGTGCCCTTTGGGCCTTTGGGGTGCTGTGGGGCGGGGGGCAAGGGGGCAGACGAATCGCTCGGTCACACTGGACTCTGTCACACACACACACAGAGACGACCAAGGCTTTGTGCCCATGTAGAGCAAAAAGCTGCGCATGGTAATAACAAATGCTACAACACATACGTAAGTGCTTGAAGATGTACATGAACACATGCAAATGCACAGGCATACATGCGCACACGCACACACGCACGTACCGGCCCGTAGGCCAGTGCATGTGTACATCTGTATGAGTTGGCGACACGTAGGCACGCGTACATGCATGCATGTACGCTGATGTACGTTGTGCACACATTTGCACCCCCGTGCAATTTCGTAACTCTGCATGTCGGCAGGAGACTGCGTGCTGTATCGAAATGGCATGTATGCATTTACACACAAGCACCGAATCATATCATCTGCTGGTGACAAAGCGTGCTCTGCATATATGCATGTGTACCTATAATTTATATATATATATATATACATATATATATATATGTATGTATGTATATATATATATATACATACATTATATAAACAGCTAGATATGGACCCAAACATAGATACACTTTTCCACCCGCGCGATATAGATCCAGAAATGTGTGTGCATGTCTGTGTAGGTTAAAGTGTGCCCGTACTATGCAACTGAAACATACTGCTTACAATGCAGTCCAAACGAGCAGTGGCGGACGCCGTCATGGAAGGTTTCGCTTACCTTTTATAATACATACGCAAGTGCATGCCTGCATGCTTAGATGCATACGGGTATGTACATACAGGCATGCATACACACACAGAGAAAATGCATGTATGCATGCACGCACACTCACACAAACTAATGCACACATACAAGCAAACAAACACAAATATATATATATATATACACATGCGTAAGTACATAGACTCCATAGACTCATAGGTTCCTAGATACATAGGTACACAAGTATACAGTTACATAGACACGTAGATATCAGCATGTGTCCGTGCATATATGCACGGACACAAACTACATGTATACATACAGACACACAGACACAGACGGACAGGCAGACAGACAGACAAGCAGACAAACAGACCGTGCCCCGAGCCAAGGTTCTCAGTGGGCCGGTGGAGGACACGCTGGTTTAGGTCTGGGCTCGGGGCTAAAAAGGATTAGTTTGAGGCGTCAAGCTTCAGAAATAAAGCTTTCGGTTCCAAAATTCAAGGCCTGTAAATGCTTCCAACGACTACCTGAACAGCCCATCCCTGAACTTTAGTGGTTCACTGCAGTCGATTCAATATGATCCAATTGCCCGGAGTATTTGGACAGGCAGACACACAGGCAGACAGACAAACAAACAAACATGCGTACATACTCACATACTTACATACATAAATGCACACATACATGTGTACACACATTGGGATGGGTATCTATAACTTCCTTTACACAATTTAACTGAAAAGTCCAGTTGGAAGTGCATTTACGGCTTCCGTAATATGAGCACTGGCCCATAGAAGTTTCGTCTGTCCAGCACAGAACCCTCCGTGCTGCTATAATTGTGCCCTGAACCATGCGCATGTCCACTTCCCACTGTCCTTGGGCATCATCGACGCATACTCCTTGGCATACTCGAAGAACATTGCGGCGCAGCCAGGCGAGGTGTGAAGACTGCGCACCTGGCCAGCAAGCCGTGATGGGTGTGGAGCTTGGGGCTGCTGTATCTTCGAAGGAAAGGTGTACCGAAAAGCGGTTTTTTTAGGGCTTCGGGCCTCTTGCGGCATTTACCATCCACGGCTAAGCTGCTCTTGCTCAGATGCGAGTACTGGGCTCTGGTGTCCGCCTCCCGCATCGCTGGCAAGGCTGCGCGACGTGGGGTTCCATTTTCCGTTTGTGTCCGGGTGTTGTCCCGTTGATCCCTTCACTTTACGGCCTCGGGCTAGGTTCCTAGATTCCACGGATCTGGTGCAAAAACTGTCTATGCACCATGAACCCGGAACATGGGTCGACGCTGCTAAATTATCGAATGGCACAACTGAGAAGGAACAAAGAAGATCTTCAGGCATCTGCTGCGAACATGTCCCCCATGCCCCGAACTAGTCGCAACTTCTAACTTTTCCTGCGGCCCAGTCGCCAAATCGTCGCCCTCCAAGGTGAAAAGCTCGCCGAAGGTTCGGGCGGCAAGAGTGTGATTGTGGGGTACTGCTTCCTCGGATCACCGCACAGAATAAAAGAAACGGCAGTATTGACTTGTACAGGTATGAATAAATAAACACACACACACATACATATATATATATATATGTATGTATGTAGCGAGATGAATAACAAAACAAAAATAGCAAATAAACATAAACATAATAATAATAATAATAATCACAATCTCAGCATGAGCTAGCAGGCGGCCTGTTGGTGGAAAGAGCCACTGCACATCTCGAACAAGAACACTCACTTTGAGACCGGACTTCAAGGTATTCAGAGGCGCAGAATGGATTTGGGTGGCCTCAATAAACCTCCTGAGTAAGCCCGAAACCCTAAACCCCTAAATCCTTTTTGCAGAGGCTTGATTGGAGCTTGTCCGGCCCTACACCCTAAATCAAAGAACAACCAGTTGAAAATGCTAAGCTAAGGATTGGCGCCTTCGACCCTCTATGAGAGTTTCCGAAAATTAGGGGTACCTTATTTTGGGGTCCTTATAATAAGGATCCTACTATATAGGATGCTATATTGGGGTCCCCTATTTTCGGAAACACCCATATCTTGGACTGGCCAGGCAGGCTCGATTGTAGAACTCTAGGACCGGTTTAGAGTGTGTAGGTTTAGGGGTTTAGGGGTTTAGGGTTTAGGGTTTAGGGGTTTAGGGTTTAGGGTTTAGACTCTACGATCTCACTCTGGTAGACGCTTAGGGATCTTCTGCAAGATGTTGAAACTCGTGGTGACCGCGATGCCTGCTTGAAACGCCGTGATCGGAGAAGTGAACAACAGCTCAAAGCCTTCCCAGGCTGCCTCGCGATCCCAACAGGAAACCAAGCGACAAAAAGCACATACTCAACTCAAGACGAACCGCCATGTAGAGAGAGAACTCCTCCAGGATATTGATACCTGCCGAGACTTGCATTCATGTCTTGAATTTCCGAGGGCTCCGCAGTGGTGTCTACGCGCCGCCCCTCGGGGTTCATGCATGAAGGGTTTCTTTGTCAACCTGGCACCAACCTGGCTAAGTTGGAAAGGCATGCTCTCAAAGGTATTGCCGCCATTTGCATGAGTAATGCAGTGCGGATTACCTGAGTCGGCCCTCGTTTATACAGAAGCCACAGTCTGAACCACGATGTCTCCCGCACATGCAGAACACCGAATTCGTCATCGTCATCATCATGGCCATCACTGTCACCATCACCGCCATCATCAACATCATCACGAAAAATACGTGGACAACAGCCACTGTGAACAGTACCTCTGGCAGCAGCATCATACATATACTGCATTACATATGTATATTTGTGTATATACACATCTATCTATACATGTATGAAAGATCCCGAGAAAGAAAGCATACGATCTTGTACCACCATGATGAGGATCACCCCTTGGCGTATCAAAAAAGTCATGAACGCCGGCATTTCTAACTAGAGATGCTGTCAGCTGGCCATTCCTCAGTGTCTTTTACTCGGAGCACGGCCGGAGAAACCCGAACCATGTGATCAATGCTATCTTCGAGCTCCAAACCTCTCTCCTGTAGTTTAGGCCATGCCAACCCATTGTTTTCAAAGCCGAAACCCAGAACCCAAACGCCATCCTGTCATTCCGTACCTCCCCACCGAGGCAAGACGATGTTTAAAAGACCACAGGTAAACAACACAACTACTCATTGTGACAGGTGAGCTGCCCCACATGCCTAAAGCCCTCCCCATACCTTAAACCCTAAAGCCTCATAGCTATAAAAATATTTTGCCCTAATAGTTATGAGTCCTTTTGGCATGGAGCCTGTGAGCTGCGATTCTTCGCAATCTCCTTCTACCCCCTGGCAGGTGCGCTGTCGGACTTCGGTTAGGGTTTGTTCTTGGTTTAGGGACTCCGGTTTGACAGGGCTTTCGGGGCTTAGGGCTTATGGGGTTTAGGTGAGAATACTCATGTAACGGATTACTGCATTATGGGTGTACACGGACTTTAAGTAGCTTTGGCTTCTGGTTGGCGCATCTAACCTTTACCCAGAAGACTTGCAGCGGCTCTCGGTAGGGCTCTCGGCTTATGATCTTGGATTGCTCGGGCTTGTGATGTAAGGCATTCAGTGCTTGGTCTCAAAATTTCTGGGGTGAACAATTTGCGCCGACTGCAAGGAGATAAGAGGATGGGCGTGCGCGCTGGAGGCTTTCATGGGGCTCTAAACTTGATTCACACCTTGATGTATAGCCCTAGTTCATGTGCGGCTATGTTGGTCAACCTGTCATTTCGGACCATTTGAGGGACAACAGTCTGCGATCGTCTTACGAGCAATTGGGCTTTAAACGATGACACCCGTTTAGCTGCAGTATACTTTTCTCAAAACACCCTGCAGCAATCCATAGTCTGCAATACAGCATACTATACAATTAGTGGTCCCTCTATGCTAAACCATATAAACTCGTCAAGCGCATCCATGCCATTCCCGGTGCCATCAAAATGCCTGAAGCAGGTAGGTGCCAGCCACCGTTACGTACATTCTGTGCGTAATCGTCCCGGCAACGAAGATCTCCTGCTGGGAAGCGGGATCAGGAGCTGAGTGCCACATGATGAACCCAGAGACTCCAATATCCCTCAATTCAAGAATCTACCTTAAATTGTAGTAGGATCCCTGATATGATTTAAGGTATATTCCTTAATCAAGGGGTATTGGAGTCTCTGGGAACTGACCAACCCATGAAAAGGCGCTCGGTCCTCGCTGATACATACAAACACATCAGCTCCAAACGCTAGAAGACATTGTTCTCCCATAGGCCCCATAGTAGTTCCTTTTATGGGGTTCATATTTAGAATCCTATAAGGTAATCCCAAAGGAACTACCATGGTGCCTATGGGCTTGCTGAAGTATCAGATCCCCCACAACGAACTGGAACCGAAGCGGATCTTAGAAAAAAGAGGCCTGCTTAGACCAAACCAGATCTGTACCTGTTTACGCAGAATCCTTTGAAGACAGGGGGGGGGGATTTTATCTGCGCTGGGCTTCCATCGCTTATGCGAATCACTTTTCTGAGACCTGTCGATGTGTCAAAGGCCCCGTGCTGCTCCCTGGCCTGCCTTGAACCCCTTTGAGAAGGGAGCTCAGAGTTCAGCTGATTTTGGGGGGTCTGGTTGAGGGTTTCCCCTATCCAATGTGAGCTTTAAAAAACTGTGGAGAGCAGGGTATGCAGAGCGGGGAGGAGGATAGATTGCATCAAGAAACTCAACGCTTGTTGATCGACTCTCCTCCCGGTTCTCGCACACCATGCGCTTCAAAGCCACACATAGGCTTGCGAATGCCTGTGCAAGAGGGATGCTTGTCTAGCAAGCTAGGGCTAGGGGTGGGAAGGGTATCACTGCAGGGAGCCACGCAGTTGAAGCACCCGCCTTATGGGACCCCGTATTAAAACCCTTATGCAACCCGTAAAGGATCCCTGACTAAAAATCCTTATGGGAACCCCTCTTGGACCTTTTGGAAGTATGCTGATAAGAACCCCCTTGTTACAGAGAACCTTTTAAGGAACCCTGTTTTAAGAACCAACTTGAATCCCATTGCTCTAAAGTTAAGACTGGACAAGTGCTTGCCTCGCCGACTTCCTAGAGAGGACACCTTTTGAGAGCTTGGGCTACGGCTTACAGGGATTAACGTAGGGTCCCTAGTATTTATAAGGACAGGCTTTTAGGGTATGTTATCGTATCTTAAAGTATAGTCGTCATAAGAGCCCTGAGGAATAATGTTGGCAATTTGTGAGATAGGCTTCTATGTTAGAGAGATTTGGGTTGTTAACGGCTTTATTAGACATCAGAACACTTTCTGTTGTATAGCTCGTTGATTTTGGGTACCTGATTTGTTGGCAGCCAAAGTATTGCAGCTCCTTAAGCCTCTATACCCTATACCCCTATACCCCTATACACTAGGCAGACGGGCCTCCGGGAAGACTTCCTTGGCCAGCCGGCAAATCGGCAGGGCCTCTGAAGGCAAGATGCAAAAAGGCGCAGGTGTGGGGCAGGGCGGAGGGGGTGCGGGGGCGTGCGCTGTTTGCGAGATGTTGTGATGGCTTGAGCCCTTTCATACCTCTGTTTTCCAAACCTCACGCTCCACTTGCGACGTGTAATTCGGAAGACTTGTGGGCATGTCAGATCTATGGCCAGGGTTGGGGCCATCTTTGCACAAACCAGTCTACGCACCTATTAACCTATTATGAAACCATCTGCTGAGCCTGAACCATATACGCCTGCAAGGTTTCATGCTAGGTTGTTAGTTGGCCTCTTGTTGGCCGCGCACAGACATCCTTGTGCAAATGCTGAACATGTTGTCTTCAACATATCCGACTGATTCTGATGTCGCTGCTTGTTTGTGCTGCTGTGATTCACATATAGCAGTCTGCCAACGGCTTTCTTACACTATTCTGTTCACGGTCCCTGTTCTGACAGCATACCGTCACCTTGCTCCTCGTAGCGACAGCAGCACAAGCAGCAGCAGCAGTAGTGGTAGTAGTAGCAGCAGCAGCAGTAGTACTAGTGGTAGCAGTAGGAGTAGCAGCAGTAGGAGTTGTGGTACTATGAGTGGTAGTCGTCGTCGTCGTCGTCGTCGTCGTCGTCGTAGGAGCAGTACTAGTAGTAATAGTAGTAGTAGTAGTAGTAGTAGTAGTAGTAGTAGTAGGAGTAGGAGTAGCAGTAGTAGTAGTAGTAGTAGTAGTAGTAGCAGTCATCTACTCCCGGGGCTGTGAGATGGATGCCTACAGTGGAGTGAAACTGTGTCACTGGCCAGTTTGTAGTTATGACCAAAGGACTTGTAACGAAGCTACCAGGATCTATTGCTGGGTGCACATGCTCTCCTTGTGTCTGGTCGACAGCGGAAAGTGAGGTAAACCAACTTGGCGCAATGACTGAAATGGTAATGGCACCTGCAAAAATGAAGAACGCTGGTTGACGTACAGCTCTGTCTGCAAGGTCAGGGAGATGAGAGACGTGTTGTAGTTGTTCGGCTGGAGCCTTGGATGGCTTTCCAGCATGTGTGGCTTCAGGCATTTTGAATGAAGCTCGGAGCTTCCTTTACCCTTTTTACACAGGCTTGATTGGAGCTCGCCCGGCCAACCCTAAACCCTAAACTCCAAGCTCCTCAGCAGCTGTCGGACCTAAGGGCTAGAGCACTGCAAGGTGTTCGAGGTACCAAGACCTGGCTTAGGATTTGAAAGGGGCTTTAGGGCGAAGCCTGGTTGCCTGCTTTATCGCTTTGCCCGTACCCACATGCCTCCGGAATCTGCGCAACATCTGCAAAATCCTGCCTGACTGTCAGGAATTGCCCTATACCGTACACCGACAAGCGGTTTGTGTGGGAAGCAAGCGTTGTTTAAATGCCTAGCCCCACCGTCAGGTGCCCAAACCAGGGCGGAGGTTTTACCCTAAAGTAGGCTTCCTCGTGATGCAGTCTGGATTCTTCTCCAGCTTGTACTCCACGAACTTCATCACCCGTGAGACAAGCTCGAAAGGAGCTTTTTGAGAACGCAAGTAGCCTTGGCTTGTGTAAATGCATTCCCAGATCTAACTCCCTTGCAACAGATCAAGCTCCCCTCCAACAGTCAAACTATATTCAACACAGTACTAATTGATGGGAATCACTACAAGGTAATACTCTTCGACCGTCCGGCAGTCGTCAGGCCTAGCGTTGACATTCAAACTTGTGAGCCCGCCCCCAAACCAGCCTGTATTCCGTCTGTACTAACCAACGGCACCCTGAACACATAGCCGGACTCCGGTTGCTCAGAAAACAATCAAATACTCTCGGACGAGGATCCCTGGACATCAACCCTACTTGGCCCGTGGTCCAAGGGGCGCCGGATCTCACGTCGCTGTTTCAGCCGGCCCTCGTTCATGGCCAGCAGCTCTAACCTTTCATGATGTTGTAGTCTGCAGGCAAACTACCACCAGTACCAGGCAGTTTCACTTTTTTCGCCAGTGTTTGCTTGGAACCGAGGCAGCTATCCGAAGACCTACAGCTAAGGGGTTGGGGGCTCAGGGCCTCAGAGTTCAAGACGCCTTGAGACGAAGAGGCACTGGGAGGGGATCAATTTCGGCCATTTCCGTTGTGTTTCCGGGCTTGGCAGGATATGGTCTGTAATTAGCCGAGGCCTGGTGACCCCGTCAGAGTCCAGGGAGGGCTGGTTTTAGGGTTTAGGGTTTAGGGATTCATGCTACGGAGTTGTTGTTTGCCTCGCTCAGTTCCCCGCCCTTGGGGCTTGGACTGCGCCCTGCATCTCAGATCTAAGCAGTGGATGGTACAAAATAACAAAATATCGGTTCACGATGCCGGGAAGCATGCACTACCTATTAGACTAACCAAGCCGAAAAGAACTGCCAACACACACGAAACCTCTGAGCATAAAGGCGACACAAAGGATTTCTCAAGCTGGCTCAGAGTCCCGGCAGGCTGGGAACTTAGAATATCCGTCTTCATATCGTGTCCTAGCATGCTCGTGGCATCCGTGCCGCTGAAGGACGAAGTCCTGCATTCAATATTGAGTCTTGGCAAGCCCTGGGCCCTGTAAGTGCTGAAGACAGCCGCACCTTCTGGTGCGAACCAGGCTGGGCAGTGCTGTGGCTTTGAACGGAGACGGCAGAGAACGGCTCGGAACGGCTCGGTCGGAATGGTTTGGACCGTTTCGCTGTGAGCCCTGTGGAACATTCTCGGAACGGCTGCCTTTCGGAACACTCTCGGAGCGGTTGACTCCCATAACTTTCAGAGAACGGTTCGGAGACATAGTCCCTGCAGGATTATAGTATACTCCTCATCATGGATAGTGCGGCACTTGGTCCTTCAGCCCTAGGACCGCGGCTACCAAAGCGACTTCGAAAGTCTTTGGCAAACAAGCGGCACAGTGGCGGATATTTTGAATATCGCGATGCCAAGGACCAAGATGCACAAGACGTTGTTGCCAATGTCAAAGAGTCTCCTAGCAAGGCATGGCGGTATCTGCTCTGTCATCTGCTGTTGGTAACCCGGTCTGCATCTATCGGCTCGGAGCCCGTCGCAGACTTGCGGCAGGTATTACATTCCCGCACGTTGAATCGTCGAATACAGAGCCAACAGCCGGGACTGCGACGCGAAAGGGGTTCTTGGATCAATGCTAGCCCTCCCTCGAAGTCTATGGCCAACTTGCTACACTTCTGTCTCGGGGTCCTGCACGTAAACGGCCCTCTCTCCCGCAACGTAGTGGGAAAACGAGAGATGAGCGAGGCACAATAAAACAACTATACAGCAATGTTCCAAAGATAATAAGATAAACAATGGAAGTTCTGTGTAGGCCCAAGCATCTCGAAATGACTTTCCGGTGAGATAGGTGCCGGCACCACCGGCCACATTACCTCAGACCGCGACGAGTCTAAGGATTTGGGTAACAGAGGACCAAACCGAAAATCCACATGGGAGTTTCAGAAAATAGGGGTACCTTATTTTGGGGGTCCTTATAATAGGGATCCTATGAATTAGGGTACTATATTAGGGTCCCCTATTTTCGGAAACCCCCACATCGATGCGGCCCCGACTTACGGTTTGGGATTTCTCTTGCCATGTCTCAGGCTTTGCCTGCCGCCACGCATGTGCATAGAGCCCGAAACCCGCTAAGAGTTTCAGATTTAAAAGGGATCCGAAAATCGAACTCGTAAGTAAGGGGGACTCTAAGTGTATATATATATATATATATGTATAGGATAATACAGGACACCTTCTACAAATGGCTTCAACGAAGCACCCCAGAATTGCAAGCAGCAAAGCTATGGAGAGACCAGGGCCTCGTGCTGGCTTTCTTGCGGAATCCAGCAGAGGGCTGGGCGATCTGGGTTTAGGGAGTCTATCGGATTTCAGCAGGTCCGTCGAAGCACAAGAGCATTTACGTCTAGAGAGTCTAGCTGTCTTGGGGGCTTCGAGTTTAGGTTGAGGTAGTTTGGGGGAGATGTCTGAAGCTACTCCCAGCCAGACCCGGCTGGTTCTGGACTTGTAAAGGAAGAAGCAGCAGCCAAAACCGCAGGAATGAGCGCGCCTGCGCGCGCACGCGCATCTCGAATCAGGCAAAGTTGCGCGGCGGAAGCAGATCAAGTATTGCTGGAAGGCGGTCAGCTGCCTCAGTCGATATGAAGGGAGCCTAGCACTCTGGAGAAGCTAGCAGCTAGCCACTGGTCTGGGCCGCTAGACTTGAGAGAGCCACCGTGTCGAAGCAGAAAAAAGGCGTCCGGCAAAGCTGCCTGATCCGAAGCGTCCCTCCTAAGTGTCTACAAGGATAGGCGAGATGCTCTGCCCCTGCGATGGCGATCCAGTTGCTTTGGCCCTCACTGGCCTAGGTCTGCAATCATGGCTGCGGGGTCTTTCTACCATACAGGGCGTCGGCGTGCAACTGATTTAAGCCTGAATCTCCGAGCCCATAAGGACGTATGATTCAGAAGCTCCAAAGATGCTTGGGGCTGGAGCTTTTGGAGGCACCAGCACTTCCGTCTCAAATACTGCCCGGTTTTGGAGCGGCTCTAAATCACCGGACTCCGGAACACACATGGATGCATCGTCAGCAACGACTACTAAGCTACTGCTGCCCGTACTGCCCAGTTCAGCATACTGCAGTTACCACGTCTGACCGTGTGCTGCTAGGAACGGCCATGAAAGCAAGCTCGCGAAGCCTCTCTGCTGCAAGGGGGGAAACCGGTGTCGGACAAAGGTCGATCTTCAAGCCGGAGGCCGAGGATCCATGAACAAAGCACAAACTCTGCAAAGCCAGAAACCTTAAGAAGCCCCCACAGGCCCTAGGCCCCATCTCTTGCGGGAAGAAGAGCAAGAGTGCGGCCGAGCCAGAACCACAGGCAGGCCAGCACATGATTCAGCAGCCCAATGGCCTCGACTCTTCATAGAAGCGTCAGTGGGTTTGGGTTCGGACTTATGTTCTGTAAGAGCCTCTGGGAGTTCTGCAGAGCTTCTGTGTGGTGTTGGGTCTAGAGGGCTTCCGGTGAAGGAGGACTCAAGTTGTAAGAGGGGGACAGTTGTGGAGACTCCCTTGCAGGGGTACTTTTTTCCTTGATTATGAACACCATTAACCCAGTAACTGCGCCCTCCAGCTGTTGCAGCAGCAAGCGACAGCATGAGATGAAGCTGTGCAGCCCGGAATTGGCAAGGCCGCATTGCTGCGGAATGCAGTCAAAGGAGGGCTTCATATTGGGGCACTCATAATTGGTAACTATACCAAGGAACCCCAAGGAAGATATATATATATATATAATGCAAATATCGATTGGGCCTTCGCTGACAGACCTCTTTTACAGCAGGGCAGCTGAAACTCAGAAAATCCGACTTAACCGGAGATGGTAAATGACCCCGGTTTCGCTCTACAGGAATTCCAGGCCGGGTTGAGGTTAAAAGAGGAACTCGCGACACGACCCTGCAGGGCCCTAATTCGTAGCCAGAGTCTAAACCCTAAATCCTAAAATCCCAAAACCTAAATCCTCAGCCCTATACTTTCGGCGTCTTGCAACAAGCTACGAACATGGAGTTTGCAATCGCTGCGCAAATGATGATCCACTGCCGGCCAGTGGAAGCCGCATACTCCTTGGCTTTAGGACTTATAGGGGTTGGGTACCGCATACTGTCCGGGCATCTGTGTATGGAAGGACTTCGACATGCAGGGCATATTGAGGACACTCCTGTTTGATTGAGGCTTCCGGTTGAGGCAGGATGCTTCGCGACTCTTGCCCCTCCCAATTCCCATCATGCGATTCGAGCTTGTCGTCAGGCCGAAATGCTCATACGGACTGCGACATCTTGTCAATCCAGCATGCAGACCCCAAAATCGCATTCAACTAGCAAGCCCGATGCCGCCCGCCATCCGGCACGAATGCCGGAACCAACCCGAACTCCAAACCCAACTCATAAGAACTTGTCTAGTACTGTTCTCTCTGTCTCTCCCTCCCTCTCTCTCTCTCTATCTCTCTCTCAGTCTCTCTCTCTATCTCTCTCTGTCTCTCTCTCTCGCTCTCCCTCTCTCTCGCAAAATGTCAACCAACTGAAACCCACCTTACCCTAAGCATGTAAACAGCCAAGTACAACTGGAAATTCCCTAGTCTCGTTATAATTAGGGTTGGGTTTTGGGCTTGCTGCTATGCTGGTTATCGGTTATCGAGACCACAGCGAATAACGAATATAGTATGTACTGTCTTTGTAATTATTCAAGCTTCTAGATTACAATCTGTGCCTGAGGAGACGGCCCAGAAGGTCTAAACCGACAAAGCAGCTTGGATGAAACCTTCCACTTTGGCGAGCTTGATCAACCTTGTGAAGGGCCAGGTGGGCGCTTGAGGTATCGTGCAGAATCGACGTCTTCTTGCATCGAGGTGTGCAGATCCCTGTGGCTTAGCTTCGTGTCAGCCATCAGAATCTAGGTACTTGGCCAAGAGTGTGTGCAGTCGTGGCAAGGGATGTCTAAACACGCACCGTCGCAAACAACACCTGCAGAAAATCCACGAAGCACATACACATGGAACTCTCCTGAAGCCCTGCACCCCTCTACCTTGATGCTTAAAACGATCTTCGCGATCGCAGCAATCATTTGAGGTGCAGAAAATTATGAAATCAATGCAGTAATCATCGCTTGTGCCGGAGGGTGCCGCCCGACTTGCAGGCAAGAAGCTTAGGGTGCAGGGTTTACGGCAAAGGATTAATGGGTCTCACTCACCTCTTGTAGCACCCCTTACAGTGACCGAAGGTCCTGTCTCTAATTCGGGCTGCTAATGAAACTTGCAGATAACCCTGTGACATCCGCTACGTTTTAAACCAAGGAAGGCCCTTAACCCTTGTTTTGCACCTGGTTTGCAGCGACTCAATCAGGACAGAAACAAGAGGCACACCCGAAGCCCACAGCTAGGGCCTAAACCCCTGAACCCTAAACCTTAAACCCCAAGCCTTAAAACCTTCACCCCAAACCTTAAACCCCAAACCCTGAACCTTAAACCCTAAACCCTAGAGCAAAAGACCTTAAAACTCTGACCCAATCTAGACCACTGAGCCAACGTCTGGGAGCCGAATGAACCGAAAGATGCGGACGATGCGTGCAAATCGGGAGAAGCTCAGGTCAACAATGGCACCTGATCAGAGTCCATTTCCAAAGGGTTCAAACAATGGTTCAGAAAAAATACTTTTGCGGCCCAAACATCTACTAAGAAGCTACGTACTATACTGGTACACTTGGTAGTTTTGGCATAGCGGTTTAGAAGGTTTAGAAGGATTTTGTCTGGATTCTCACTGTCGCGGCAGCATGCAGAAAGCCTGTAGTGTTTAGGGCTTCAACGTGATAACGGCGCCCGGTGGCAGTTCGCAGGTAGAGACAGCACCCAGCACACCCGGAGGGCAAGGGTGGCAGCACATGCAGATAAGTTAAGAACCTATATAACGTTGTAGACACTGGAAACCGACTACACAAGCTCCACAACAATTCCGGACATCGCAACAGTCAACAGCACAACATGCTAGCACCAGCAACATATTCACACAGTAACTCCACATTGACATAATCTTGTGATTTTCGACGCGGCACTGTCCAGAAGCACGTTGGCGATCGTCACCTGGGCCAGTTCTCTGGGCATGGGCTGGGGTCTGCGAGTCTACTGCAACTTAGAGGCATTATATAGTTTTGGGCAGTAGAACCGCATAGCTTTTGGACTGCAATCCAATGCTGGGCTGCGCGTCATCTATCCGGCGCCACTTTGCCGAAGGGCAGAAGGCAAGGACTCGTCATCATCTCAGGCTTAGGCTTCTGACAAGCCTGCCGTGAGAAGATTCGGGTCGCACGAAGCAGTAATTATCGCTGCTTCCACTGGACGGGTCTGCCTGGCGTCACAGCTACGACGTTCGCGGAAGACAGCTCACATGATTCATTCGGACCGGCATCTGACAACATTTCGTCACCCAGCCCCCGAGCCAACTGAGAAAAGCGAAGCAACACTTGCTGTTGTGGAGCATCAGTTAAGGGCAGCTCGCGCGCCCTCATGGTGATAGAAGGCCCATCAAGGTAGAGCATCGTAGTCAGAAGCTGCTGGCGCTCGATTGAGACACCGGCAGGAGAAGTGTGGCATGCGCCAGTCCCTCCTGAAAGCCAAGCAGCTTAGCAGCATCGGCAGAAAGAGTCCCATAAAGAACACCACCAAGAAAATGTTCTGCTGCGTAATAACCCAGCTCTCAAGAGCACCGGCCACGAGACCGAAGAGTGCGAGGACGAAGCTGTAGACCAGAAGTGCCAGCCACAAGGACAAGCAGACTCGAAAACATCCCGCTTCTGTGCGGGCGGTCAGCGCATCCATGAGGCAGAGTAAGAGTGGATGCACCGCAGGCATTGCTATGGTGCCAAAGATGCCATACTGAACAGTGACAACCATGAGCATCTGGCTGGATGATGTGAAGCCCAATGTTGCATACGAAGATTTGCAAGCCCATGAGAACCCCAAGCAGTATAGCACAGTGGGCAGAAACGACAGCACGCAAATGCTCCACGAGACATCAGTCTCGCGGCCAAGGTCTTCCAGAACGGACTCCCGTACAATGCCACGCATGTAATCGTTGAACGTTGCCAGGCAATCTTCGTGGTTCAGGTAGCCAGTGACAGAGCGTATTGCCAGCCGATCTTCTGGCGACAACGACAAGGAAGCAACCGGCAGATCGTGGCCCGCCTCTGCGACGGAGGTGTCGGTCTCGAAAGGCACTGAAACGACCGGATCGTCAAGTCCATCGAACAACTCTGCGACAAGTCCTTCGATAACTGGGCGGTCGCTCTCGACCGAGCACTTTGCCGTGCGGATGTCGTAGGACTTCAGATGTTCGAGCATGAGCTTGTGCCCATCCAGCTTCTGCTGGAAAGTAAAAACACTCGCCACAGCAAGCAACACGTAGAAGACTAGAGATGCCTGCGTGTACTCCTGGAACACTAGCAAATGGTGCCAACCGAAGCCCGCATCTTCGACCCCTGTCTCTCGAGGACTCACCACATCGTCACCAAGATAAGGATTGCTCGTGACCGCTAGCGCTTGGAGCCTTTGCTCCAGGTAAGTAACGCAGAGCATAGTCAGAAGCCACGGGGCCAGCCACAGCGGCAGAAATCGAACGTTCTTCACTCCGCTGCATTTCACAAATACAGACAGCTCTAAATTGCACCAAAGCCTTTCAAAATACGTGCCATCCCACAAAACTAACAACCGAGAGGAACAGGCCACCACCGTGGGCAGCCCGGCAATGCCCTGTTGCTTAGCTTCCTCGTCTGTCTGACTCACACAGATCTTATCCACCCAAACGCTAGGGCCCCACTGCCCGTTTGTCAGGTGCTGCCCGAACATCAGGAAGGTGGCAAATACAGCTGTTGGTATATCCATCAGAAGGAAAAACACCATTCCTGCGGACAAGTCGGGGAACATGCCGACAAAGAGCACAGCAAGAGCTATGGCTACAGCAGTGACTTTCAAAGCTATCTCCATGTTGAGGAAAACACGCATTGCGAGGTACTTATGCCAACGCGAGGCTTTCCAAGAATGGCTGACAAACACGTCCACATTCTGGACTCGTTCGCTTCTGTCAAATGCATGGGGCGCCGCCGGTTCCGTGGCAAACACCTGGCCAAAATCGGAGAGCACTTCGATGCCAGTACTGGCCCGAAACAATCCCTCACGGGAGAGATCGTGAGAGTTGCGGCGCAAACGCTTCATGCATGGCCACGGCTTTATCGACCCTGCTTAAACCTCAATCTTCCAAAGGGCACACATGCACAGTTGCGGTGACTTTTGGGCTGCGGCTAAGTATAGGCTGAGGATGGTGACTAACAAAAGGTTGAGGAAGTCCAAGATGAAATTAACATGTTTCGGCTTGCTGGCTTCGCAGCCCGAACCCACAGGCACTCATGCAGATGCTGGCATCCTACCTATTCAAAGATAAAAGAAGCATGCAAAGGCGCGTTGAGACAGCAACAGGCGACGCCAGCGATGCTAAAAGCAGCTTGATGTCAACTCCCGCTGTGCAATGGGTAAGACAACGATATAAGAATGAAGGTCTCTGCCGGAGATGCCAGAATACCACCTTGGCCCCGACATCTACGCAAACCTTTTCGTACAGTGCGGGTCGCTGCCTCTAGCCGTGTTTTGCCAGGCTCACAGCCTGCATCAAGTGCTTCTAAAAATTGGTATTAATATTCAAATCCATATCAGCACTAAATACGACTATTAAGATCCATCATCATATTATCAAACACGGAGTGTGTGACGTGACCCTTCCTGCGAATCCCGACCCAAGATCCCTAACTCGATCCTGGTAGGCCAGGTCACGCAGTCCAGTCCCACGAGGGCCACGTCCAGGAAGAGTCCGGTGCGCATATACCTCGGCAGGACATGAAGGTACTCACACCACGAAGCTGCTTTTCAATTTCCATGACGAACTCAGGCGGCTTTACAACTTGCGGCCATTCCGACTTGTATCGAAGTGACAGCAATATAACACTTTAAGTTGGCAGCTGCCCCACCTCACAATCGAGCACTAGCTCGGTCCGAGTGATGTACAGCTAGGTCCGCTGCGAACGGGTCAAGTGTCAATATCTACTCCACACCAATCAACACTGCAAGCGCACTGGTCCTTTCTGTCGAGTCTGTCACTGTAGGCCGCTGGTTCTGTCCTAGATGCTGCATGAAAATCAGCTGCTTCGAGAAGACCAGCTGTCCCTTGTGAAACACCTTGGCAGCATCGACATGCAAACCCGGCTCAAGTTTACTTGCAAAAGAACCAGTGCAATTGAGGATGGCTACCACCTTGGTTCCAATCCAACACGGAACTTATTCCACTGTGACAAGATGTAGAAGCCTGAACAATTAGTGCTACTAGGCGCGTCCAATTGTAATCCTATTGCAGTATACCCCAGAACCTTAATATTCTGAGCACGATGCAATACAATACAACGCAACAAAACGCACGAGCTTATACGCGCATGCGTATACTTATTTACACATACATGCTGGCTTTCATGTTCAAGCACAAGCCGTTGTATGGAGTTGTATGCCCGTCTATGGGCGATGGACGTACATGTATGTATATAAATATAAATATAAATATACATATATATATATATATACATACAGTCAATATATGCTTTGTGCACATGTGTAACATAGAGACCTTATATGTGTTCATGGATTCATGAATGCACAAATACCCTCAACCCGAGATGGCCCCCCACTACCGAGTTGATGATTCAGCGAAGCGTAGTGGCTTTGGGCAGAAATTGTGATGATCTTACCAGAGTTGTTTTGCCTGGGGCAGGTTCAGGTATCGACATGGAAAAACGAATTTGGGGCAGCCCACTTGCACATCCAATGGGCAACAATCGAACATACATGTATGGTAGCAAATCTTCCAGGGCTCGGTTTCTTGTAAATCTTAAGCATATTGCCGAAAGATGTCGTGAATTCCGTATGTAACTGCTGTCGTTGACTGCCTTGCCACCAAGTGAGCGGAGACAACGAGGCATTTTCACGAGTCTGGTATTAGCTTTGCGATCTTGGGCGCTGCACGAAAACAAACCCTTCTGACTAGCTGAAGAGGCCCCGGTATTGAGATTGATGAAGATGTCCACCGTCCAAAAGAGCAGGCTGAAGGTGAAGAAGCCCAAATTCCTTGGAAGTTCTGTCAAGCCACTGCCTGCCTGTCACATCTCTGTCCGGTTTTGTAAAAAGAAAACTGTTTTATTGCGCTACTAGTCGTACTGTTGTTGTATTATCTCAGCAACAGACCCCAACAGCGATGGAAAAACATACCGTTTGGTTCAATTTGGCGCTATGGTCTGTGTAAGAAAAACTTTCAGTCTACATCCTAACACCTAAACCCTAAACCCTAAACTCTAAACCCTGAACCCGGACCACTGTCAAAGCCCTTCGCTGGAGCACCAGTTGAGGACTGCTTTGGAGGCCAAGTTTGGCCAGCTTATG